AGAAAATTACTATGAAAAAGCTTAATTATAACCGACAATATTTTCTAATTATAACTTAAGATAAGACTTGTAGTTAAACAGTAAAACAATCAATACAATTCTATTTGTGGATTTCGAGAAATGTGTGGACAAACACGAATTAAATCGATCCACAGTGTATACTAACGATAACACAAAAATAAAAATTTAGTGTTTCCGGAATTAAAACAAAAGCTGTAATTTTGTAAATAGTTACTTTTTAAAATAATGTGATCTATCTGATATTATTATTACAGCATTTTGTCAATAGGTCTTGTAGATTTCAGACAATGCTACACCTAATATAAATATACGTATGGTTCAATATAAGTTGAATACCCTTGACCAGTGGCCGGGAACTCAGATTTGCATATGAAAATGGAAAAAGCGCTGAAAATGTTTAAAATCCCGTGCGTTCTCTTTAACCCGCCATTTCCGAACACATCGACCAACATTGCGTTTTCATTTGTTTTGATAAAAACTTATTACTTACACTTCATATTATGTGTTTACGTAATTTTGGTTACCTACATAATAAATCTACCCGTCCATCGTTATAAAAGTCAAACGTAAAAGTTTTGTAAACATAAAAATATGATGAAGTTTGTTAAATAAAGAAAATTCAAGATTTTTTTATGAAACAAAGATGCAATTTTAGAATATAATGGACTGCGAAGATGAGGGACTTTTGTTCGAGGATAAGAACAAAAGCTCGTGAAAAAATGTCCACCGAAGACTTGTCATGAACTCAACGCACACAAACGGTGTGCGAACATTTGTTGGTAGAAAATTTAGAGAAGCTATGGAAGTAAATATTCTCAAATTACACACAACACAAAAGAGAGTACATCTCTTTAAATCGGATCGAGCGCGCAACGCGGACAAAAGTTCTCTGTGAGCGTTGCTGAGCCTAGTCACATGAGTTCTACTTTTTCCGGGGACACCCCGTACTTTTTAAAGTGCAATATCTCAAGGTGCTGTTCATGTCATTGACCTAAGCCAGAAAAAAACAGAAAGCCTAAAACAGAGCCCTGAGTTGTACCTTGCATTACCTTGCTGTAGGAATCTTGGATTTTAACACAAAAAGAACATTCCCGCAAGTAAGTATGTAATTAGTTATTTAATTTTCCCCCGTGTTTGGACAATCCGGACACCATCAATGTTTACTTTCTTAGTGCGCCGGGCCGCAATGCAGTGTCAATGTCACAGCTGATATTTTACGAGCACGAGTAGAGTTACGAGTTCATAGACATTCTGCGGCTACGATATCATTGATACCGGTTGGTGAAGATACAATAATGCAAGTCATCAAGAGGCTTCAGTCCAACGCACAGGGCTGTGGTGGTATTTCGTTGGAAATGCTGTTATTCACCTCGCCAAACTCGCTATTTGGAGCAAGTCTAATTGCCTTGTCCTCAACCCCAAGAAGTCTATATTCATGGTATTGGGGAGCCATGTCACGGAATGCGTTCGTGGTTGTTTCTATAGGCTTAAACTGCTATATACGATAAGACCGTATTGCCACGAGCAGCTTTGCATCAATCTCTGCGAATCACTTATACTATCTAAGTTAAATTACTGTGACACTGTGTATGGCCCCTGTATTCTGCTAGGACAGCTAAATTGGTACAGCGTGTGTAGAATGCATGCGTACCTTTCTGTTTCTATGTACCTCCACGAGCACACGTCACACCATTTCTTAATAACTATAATTTATTGAAAATGGAGGCACGCAGAAGACTCCATCTCTCCAATTTGCTATTTGGTATCATCAAATCCGGTAAGCCAACTTACGTCTATAAAAAAGTTACTTGGGCCCAAGATCATAGTGCTTATACAATAAGAGCTTGTAGGCCGAGCTTTACGTGGATCCTTTAGGTTCGCCGCCACGCGGTGCTGGAACGACATCCTGCGCGATCTGAAAACCATTGGTTAAAATACATCTAAAGAAACATCTTTTAACACTTCAGCTCAATAGTAGTTGAATATTTTAGACTTGTATTAGGTTCTGGGGGTGTGTAACCGGCGCAGTGTGGTTTGTTTTTGTAGGAATTTAAGCATTGGGGATTGTTAAACAACAATGTCATTTTCTATTCGTAGACAAGACCTCATCTTTTTATTAAATACGTGGCACGAGAACCCAATCTAACCAACGTGGCGTGTACTGATTATGTACTAGTTACTTTACTACGTGGCGTAATGCGTGGCAGTCATGGACAGTGCGTGGCAGCCATTCCTACAGATTAAGTAAGTACTAAAACTGGCACACACAGATGATAGCGATCGCGTTAAGAACATGCACACAGAGCTTATGTCAAAACTTACGTTGTCTAAATTAATTAATTAATAGAATGTACAGACATTCTATGTCAAAATTTATTAATCAGGGATAAGTCCTTGTGTCAGTGTAAAGGAGATTGCTCAGCTTCCATACATGTTTGGCCTAAAAACCAATAACCATGAAAAATTGTTTCCTAGATTCGAAATTATATATAAATTACCGTAGAAACGAATATTATCGACGGCCACTCCTGAGAACTTCTATAAACCATATACACTGAATGATTTTGAGGTTATGTTTGCAAATAGGCACATAGGTATTAGAATAATAAAAACCAAATAACTTATATAGGAAAATAGGGCAATCAAGCCAAGTACCGATATTATGTATTAGATTCAGGTATATAGAGCATGTAAAATAACAGATAATTGCCTGTTTTTAAAATTAATGCACAAGAGTAAGTTTTAAAATCATGATTATGCCATTGCGACTTTCAGAAGCAATCTTGTTTCATTTGACAAGTGTCTAACACTAATTACACTAACAAAATGCATGTCAAGGAACTGGTACCTGCTTACCTATGTTATGAGAAACATGGAACTGTTATCATAATTTTATAAAAACCAATAGGATATTTTCTTAGTAATAATTAGGTTTATAATGGTAAAAGGTAATTCTAATGTAATAATATATTGCGTAGGTTCATGATAGTTCTGATCAAAGTGTGAAATATGTATATTCCTGACATAGCTTAAATATTCTGATAAGGTAAATTAATGAAATAAAACAACTTAAGTACTTTTTATGTTGCGTTTAATATTACATATCATCTACATTTTGAATTAAAATATCATCGAAATATTTTATCAATCTTTACAAAATAGATTTGTTTTGATGTTATATAAACAACCTCGATCAGTCTTTGTGAATGTTACTACACCCATAGCCAATAAAAATGATTCGTATGGTTTTCCAAACCGGTAAAAATAGAAGTCCTTTTTTAAAATTAATATATTATTTAAAGGTGGCCGTTAAAATCTAATGACTGTAAAATAAAGTATAAATTACGCCAAGAATTACTGTATATGTCAATATTTTATTTGCATTTAGGCCAATTTGACCAATCTCCTTTAATAGTTAACGTCCGGTAGATGGTTTATTTACATTATATACTTAGACATATTTATGTATAAATTATAAGTATACAATTAATCATAATTTTAGTCATATTAATATATATTATATACATACTCTATCGTGATAGGGGTTTTTATTGTTCTGTTTTTCGTGTTTACTTGGTTTTTGAATGTTTCACGAACCATTAAAGCGACCTAGCACAGGCCCTGCCAGAATACCAGCGCCGACATGGTGTGAAAAGTATTTTCTTTTCACACTATGTCAGCTTATGCTGAGGCAGGGTCCTGGTTAGCCTTCTATAGATGAACTTTTATAGTTGTCATATATATGCTATTGTTATGATGGTCAATAAAGAATTTTCCATTTCCATAAGTATCTAATTGATTGAATCGATAAAGGCATTATAAATACTTTTTAACATGCAGCAAAATGAAACATGTTGAAGTCATTCGTATTCCAGGCAGTGAGTTAATTTTGTGTTTTGTGGGTCTGTCACAAACCCTGTAACACCTCACGTACGATGTAACTGCTCCGTAATTAGCCTGGTAGTAAAAACTGACGAGGGGTTCTCTACGCCGTTTGGCCACGATGGATACGGAAGCCTCAATCATATATTTATACATATAACGAGATACCTTCACATTTCTATTGGTTTGATGACATTGTAGTGACACGCGATTGAAAACCTATGAGGAATATTGTGATACGAGTAATCTCGACCATCGGTCATGCTGTCAAAAATTTATCGACGCTAGACGCAGACTGGTCTAATCATCAATCTCCAACGAGAGAATTAAATGCTGAACCAGAGTAACGGAAAGATGAAACTTTATAGTTGAAACATTATTGATTGATCCTAGATTAGAAGAAAGGAAGCAGATGCAAGTTTTACTTATTAGAGAGTATGAATTGAGTAGACATTTTTTTAATCACTAATGTGTCATGCATATTTTATTCGTAGGGAAAGACTGTGCTCCGGCAGCGGGGAGTTGGGACATTAATAGGCTAATGATGTTGATTTATTTTGTTACCACGGTTATTTACCAAATACTATCTAAACGATTGTTTTAATTGTCATTTACTCGATGAGTTATTTGGCCTATTCCAAAACTTAGTTTAGTTTTATAATAAAGTACCTACAGCTACAATTTAGAATCACCGTATGTATTAAATTAAGAAAATAGACTTTTAATTGACTTGAGAACGTACTTACCTTGTCTACGTAATTATGAAACTGATATGAACGTTAATTCAGTGCTTGATAAAACCCGCGTCGCTCAAGGTTCTCTGTTTAGCTTGGATAAATTTATTATTTTAATTTAATTACAGTATAAAACTTGAAAACATTTTATTACTACTTCAGTACTTTGAGAGTTGTCGTGCGTTCATAATATATTATTATGGTAATGGCTGCAATGGAGTGTGATATTACAATAAAAAGAGCATCTCGATTAAATTTATAAATATAAAAAAAACAAATAGTTTGTGTTATAGCAAACGGTGAAGTGTGTGTGTGTCCTAGTTATAAAATAAAAACTTTAATAAAAAATAATTAAATAAAACAATGGGTGAGAAAAAACAAACGAATGGCTACATGCCAAAGACACAGGAAAGCGAAAGTAAAGATTCACCACTACAAAAGGATATTCCTGGCTTTTTATCCCGGTTTTTCTTTTGTTGGATGATGCCATTATATTACAATGGTATGAAGAGGGACTTAGAAGAATTTGACCTAGTTCCTGCAAAGCATCGATACGACTCTAAAGTAGTGGGAGATTTATTAGAAAGGTAACAATTTCAGGAACAACATATTTATTATATTCAGTGTATTTTGCAATAAAAAATCTAATCTTTACATAAAAATACACAGTTTTGCGCAACACTGCAACATTGGATAATATTAAGGGGTGTTAGAGTTTTGATGAAGACTAGTGGGACATTTAGTAGTAGCTCAGAATACATTAAAGTAAACAACTTGGCATGGGTAAAATGTATTGTAGCGCTATGAATTAAAGCTTGTGTCATAAGATTAATGTAGGTTTTTATTGTTGTAAGAATTCTCAAAGTTGGTTCAGTAGTTCCAAAGACGACTTCCTACAGACAAACTTATAAACTTTGCCTCTTCATAATATTAAGTATAGCTTATAGCTAGCTATATAAGTACCAATATAAATATCAGCTCAATTAAGTATTAAACCCTTAGTTACAATTCTACGCTACATAGTATACATACATGGCTACAGTAAATAATAATCATGACGTTCTTCGGATACAATAGACAGTGACAGGACAGAGTGACAGGTAGCCTATTATTTACGTAGGTTTCCGAAAAAAACTAATTGTGTTTTGGTAGACTTCATTCAGTGCGATGCATATTCTTTATTTGATTATGTCACTGAACGTAAATTTTGCCAGGTTGGATCAAATAAGATTTTCATTGGATTTTATTGTAATAACTAGCTCTGCCCGCGACTTTATACGCGTGATGTAGGAAATAACAATATATCGTACATAGGTTCCTGTACTTTTTTTTGGTGAAATTGCATTTATTTAGGCATGGAAGTTTTTAAACGATATAAGATGCGTAATTATCTGTGACACTCACACAAATATTCCTGGGAAAATGTACACGCAAAAGGTTACATAGAAACTCTTGCCGCCGCCTCTTGCAGCCTGTCGCCCCGGGTAATAGCCGTCTTGCTCCTAGAGTAAATACGGCCCCTGCTTGCAAAGGGTAATGCAATATTGCAAAAGATCTAGCAAGCATGGCCAAGGACTGTGAAAATCCCATACACAGATGAAATGAGTATGTAACTGGATATTAGAGATTGTCGCTCATATGCAATAGTAAATTAAATTATCCCCAAAAGCATTTTTGCAGAGTATCAATTAGTTCTACTCAAATTAAACAAAACGGAGTTCTATAAACAGGTATCTAATTCATTATTTTACTTGCGTTGCTCAGATTCTCGTAGAATTTTCAGGAGAAACTTTTGAAACCACTCCAAAAAGCAGCACAGTACCTCTTATGGGACATTTTGCCTTATTTATATCTGGCAAGGTTCGTTACTTTGTGTTTTACACAGCGCTATTGTTGATAATTGTATTACACACATAAATAATGGTGTAGAACACAAAATTAAGCAACTTTCTCTATTTCGATCATAGGATGGGTGACCAAAAATTTATAATAAGTCAGACTTCCATCAGCCATTTCATTCAAATGTTATTAAATTCGCACATGTGTCAGCAAGAAGAGCCGCAGAAGATCGACTCGTTTCGATTCGATCGATTGTTTCTTTCAATTTCTTACTTGCTTTGTGCATTTGTTATTTTTGCAATTTAGAAAAATTGGTCTGATTTTACATCTGTGGGACGTAGCGCTATATTATTTTGTACCATTTCAGCTGATTTATATCTGATAACAAATCTGCGATGATATTGGTTTTTGTACTATGTACAGTTACATTTATCACACTGTCGTCGTGATTTTCTACGTCTTTTATAGTCGTTACGTCAGTATACACAAAAATACCGAAAATAAGAATAACCTGCAATAGAAACCAAGTATATTATAGCTTGCGTTCATCAAAGGAATTTTCTTTAAAAAAAGACGTTAATAGTATCAAGAGTAAAACATACTTTCAGGTCCAGATACACACTGTCTGGTACTTAAAACGAAAACATTTTTACGTTTGATGAAAACTTTTGAATTATTACATTTGTATTCATCTGACTGTCTTTTGAGCACTGAAGTCAGGTTTAAATTCGGCTTAAATTTTTTGGTGAATTCGACGAAATAAGCCAAAGAAGCATTTCGGATTTCTTTCATACTTCCATTGGACAAAATTTTCTTAAATGTCAAAATGTTTTTCTTTCCATGTTGGCGGTAATAAGTTTTCGATTACGGCTCTTGCCGTTCCTAATTTTCAGGTGGTGTTGCAGTAAGTTAAGCATACTCATTTTCTATTCATTCACTGGAACTCAATTCGTCATATAGAATTACTTTTCAAAATCAATGACAAACAACGAACAACATAAACGTTTTAGTATTGAAGTGTTTCTTTTTGTTTTAATTTTCAACAATCATTTTTCTATATTCAAGCCAGTTCGAAATTTAAATAAACCTTTGATTAGTACCAAACCTCCTTGGTTGTCATGTTTCGGAGTAAAAGATCGTTCCATTTTTATATTACACTACAGATAATAGTGCAATTGTTAAATACATAAACCCATGTATTTTATTTTGTATCTATTTCTCAAGTTAATCGTAATAACTTTATTTCATATTTCACAACACAACACAACACTATAAAATTCTGTATACACATATAAAATAAATCTGCATGACTGTTTGTTGCCAGAATAAATGAAAAAAAAAATTAAGAGTTTACTACGTAATTTATTTTGCCGCTAAACCACGGCAGTTATGAATTTTCGTACAACTTTTGCCGGCCGCTGCTCGCTTTTATTTGGTGCGGACAGCAATTTCGATGCATTTCAAAGATGCTTGAGAAAACTGAATGTATGTATATTTTAGTAAATTTCAAAATCCAAAAGTTTTTTCGTGACTGAGTAACAAACAACCAAATAGTCACAATTATAAAATTAATAGCAGGTATATTAGGATGAACCTCTCCGCTCTTAAACGGTTAATGACCCTACTTCTGTTCGATGATAATGTGACAATAAGTATTGAATTATCTTACTGCTTATCCGGATAACTGAGTATGTATTTGTATCAATGCACTTGAAAACCAGATAATAGCTTAGACCAAGCGTAGTTACCCATCACAACACGCAAGAATGAACCATACAGGTAGAAAAGTTTAAGGCAAGTTTGAATAGCATCTCATCATAATCATCACTCATCACAAGAGTGCAGTCTCCGATCCAGTAACGTAGGTACTCCAATGCGTTATTGGAGCGTTGAAAATGAGTATCTATACGTTTTTTTATATATTAGAATTCAAGATGTTTTTATTCTATTTTTGATTATTTTCATAAATATATATTTGTTTACAACCAATAACAATGTAACAATGTACCTGTAACTCCTATTAATGTAATTTGTACAACATTTTGGAACAAGGTTTCTTTTCGGAGGGAACGTTATCGACCTTATTCGGCTCGATTATTATAAGAAAAAAATCTCATTTTTTACTATATAAGACTTCCATAATTAGGCTACAACTACCGTCAATAATAATGATTTTATCATTACGAAGGCGTTAACTCCACCTTACAAGCTAGATCGAAATTTAAATAAAAACTTTGATAAATTACGCCATGTTTCGGTGTAATAATAGTACATTATTGCAGCGGCCAGCAAAAGAGGCATTGGTGGACGAACATGTAAATGTGGGCCGAGGCGAACCCAAGGTACACATACGTAAGACCATCAATGCCTTGTTGTGCTTAGCCACAACTAGGCATTGCTAGGCTTTACTCAAATAATGCGCGGAAATTATAAATTTTCAAAATCAAGCCCGAATAACAATTTTCCTTTGTTAAAGTGGTCATTTGTTATTTTTTAATAAACATCTTTCTATTTGCAAGTTCATTCGAAATTTATACAAAACCTTTAATGAGATACCTTTTTAACGTTCTCCCTTTTTAGGGAAGGCAAAAAGAACAATGCCCATACATCCTAAGTCTAGTCTTCAGTTTTCTTTGTTCGTTTTTTACAATAGAATGCAGGTGTGACGCATTCTAATGATTCTTTGAGTGTTTGGCACGAAATATATCATAATCACTAATTCTTCAGTTATGAAGACGGTTGAAACACAAAATCACACCAATTTTATTTCACAATATCCACTCGATGAAATCCTGCCAAAAACACTCGATGAGTTACCTCCTTGGATGTAATGTCACAGAGTAAAAGATCGTTCCATTTTTAAATTACACAAAAGATATGAGTTTACTTTGTAATTTATTTGGCCGCTAAACACGTCAGATATGGATTTTCATAAAACTTTTGCCGGCCGCTGCTCGTATGTATGTGGCCAGTACAGCAATTTCGAAGTTAGAAGAAGGTTGTCAAAATAATGCTCACATTTCCAAGCATGTTTGACAAAAAGAATGTTTCATTTTTAAATGGCACGACAGATATGAGTTAACAATGTAATTTATTTGGCCACTAAATCACGAATAAAATGGATTTTCATACAATTGGACAGAACAACAATTTCGATTAATCTCGTAGAAGGTTGTCAAAATAATGGTCTAATTTCCAAGCTTGCTTGAGAAAATTGCATTTAACTCCATTCCTACTTTGTGTAATGTTATACAGCAAGTCGATTCAATGCAGATGTTTTATTATCATTTTTCTTATTGTAACAGTATCTATGGCCACTATGGTCAGACCAACTAACTGAAATAGGTATTATGTTATTGCATAAAATAATAGATTGATAAGTTAAATTAGAAAATATACATATTTTGTTTTAAACTTACACGGTCTCTAACATTATAAGATTTTTTGTTATTAGCGGGATTGCTACCGTGTACCTTATTTTTTGCAAGTTCCCGATATTTCGGCATTGTTGCAAGCTAGTCCTAAATATTACGTAATCCGTTTCTGTCAGTATAATCAGGAAAATAAAATTTTACTTTACAGACCACTCTTATCTTAAAAACCAGCCAAGTGCGTGTCGTGCCATTCGCAGTGTAGGGTTCCGTAGTTGCCTGTAGTCAATATATTTGAAAACAAGTCTTTATTTTCTGTATAGAAAATTAGAAAAACCGATTATTATCAATTTATGTACTTTTCTCAACTAAAATATCAAAATCAAAGTCAAACTGCGTCTCAAACTTAAAATCAATTAGATTTTTTTTTAATACGAATGATAACCGCCGATTTTTTATTTCCTCCTAGGCGGGGGAGTGGGTGTGAAATCCTCATGGATACCCTACAGCTGGCTGCAAGATTATGTAAGACTCTTACGGACTAAAACACACCCGTAGTTCATGCTTATGGCCAGAAGGGCCTTACAAGCTTCATCTGAAGCGATCATCTCCTGAGAAAGGGATGATGCGGTATAACCGTCGATCTTTTCAAGTGCTTTTATGCCTTTAAAAAAACGTAACGTTAGCGCGCCTTAGAAGCCGTTGCCGTTGGTACTCGCGGTAGCGTTGTGGACCTAAAGGTATCAAATCTATCTTAACCGTTATAATTTTTCATTAAAGTTTATGAAAAGAACTATTATCATGAATTTTCCCAGGTTTTTCAAGCCAATAGTTGAGCTTTTAAAGGGGATAACACATTACTCGAACAAAACTTAGCACTTTAAAGTTAAATACATATGCCGCAAACGGATCCCTAAATCAAAAATTAGTCTTAGAAACCCCTAAGTTATTTTAAAGGATATATGCAACGATATCCCACGCGATGGGGTAGACGATGAAAAAAAGGATGTCAAAATTTTATTCTACCATTCTGTCGACGTGACCGATAAAAATATCTCCACAAAATTACAGCTCTCTAGTGCTAATAGTCTCCAACCAAAACCGGGGACGGACAGACGGACATGACGAAACTATAAGTGTTCCTTGTCAGGACTACGTAACTCTAAAGAGGCGCAGGTGTTGATAAAATATTTGTTTTATCAAGATAGGCAGATACGTGATATGAGTAGGTAAATGTATTGATTGTGCAATCGTTTTAAGTTTTGCGACATTGACGATTAACAATCCTGTGTAATTATTACGTCAATGATATCATTGTTCTGGCGCTGTAGACAAACAAAAAGCCATCTTTCTATAAGAGCAAACACGACAAACAGTCAACCTTTGGGAAAAAAGAAAAACGCGAACGGCGGTATAAAGCTAAATATACACATAAATAATGATATATTAAAAATATATACGAATTAACATAGATACATATATAAATACATACTACGAAAGGAATACACATATACATATACATATCACAATTATATTTATATATATATTTAAATATATATAAATGACATGATGATGGTTTACATTTTGACTTGTTCATAAAATATTGGTGTTAAATATTCTTTGGTGATTGGTATGTTATCTAACAATATCCACATTCCTAATTACTGATTAATACGCTATTTTGGTCCCTGTCTACCTAGCTCTTTTGTAAAAAATGTATCCTACCGACCAATCCGCACTAGGCCCAGTACGGAATAGGCCCAAGATGGTGTGATACCAGTGCGGAATTGGCCCAAGGCGGATTGGTTACAACTCAGAATGGGCCCAGTGCACACGCTCCCGGTGTATCGTCACCGCTCCCGGTGTATCGCTATCGCTCCCGATCCATCGCACACGCTCCCGGTCCATCAGCCACCAAATAAAACTTTTAACCAACCACCGCCATCAGTGGTTGCCCACCACGCTCCCCATCTTGCTTCCCGCCCAGCTGCCTAGCTTGCTACCTAGCTAGTTGCTTAGTTAGCTGCCTTGCTAGGCTGTGACATTAAAAGTTTTGTCAAGCCCTCATCCGCCAAACAGTCCTAAAAGGAACTTCGTTCCAAAAATTAAGCCGATTTAATGTAAACGAAACTACAAGAAGTAAGAAAATAAATCTTATTCTTAACGGTAACAATAGTACAATGATGAAATGAATCATCACAAAAGTTTACGTCGCGCAGTCTCAATACATACCTATATATTACTACCCGCATCCATAGGGATGTACTTAATCCCCTTTCTCAGCCTCCGCCGCCGCTGCCCGTTACCGCATCAGTTATTGCCCCGCCTTCGCTAGAAGCTGCTAATCCGCAGTCAGTGACCGTTGCATTCTGGATCAGCTTGCAACACTATGGGGCACAGTTCGAGTTCCGTCATCCCAGAAGGTGCGAGGAGTATAGCAGCGGGCGGATTATATTACTCCTTTCTTTCTCTTACACGGCTCTGAGCTGGTACTGGCTCTCTTACTTCTAAAGTAAAAGTAAATGTACACATAAGTGTAGTCCGTTACTTCTGGTGATCACCGAGCTCAAGTCGCTTAACATCTGGTACCTTGATGATTAGACCATTGGGGGAACACTAGAAGAGGTGAAAAGGGACCTATCTTTCTTATAACCTCGTCTGGGGGAGTTAGGCCTGGAAGTAAATTCTGCCAAATGTAACTTTCCCTGTACTTCAATGTCATCATCATCCTTCTCGTCTTACACTTATTTACTTCCGGGCCTCAAGGAGCTCAATAAAGGTCCATTTTATTTGCTGGGTGCTTCTGTTATTCCATCTGCATTTCCGGAGGCACTGAAAACTCATATGGATGTTCTCTTGCTCGCCAGCGAGCGTATAAACGTTACTCCGCTCTACTCTTTTTGCGGAAGTGCTTTGCCGTCCCACAGATAACAACTCCAGACGGCCTCGGTTTGTATGTTCCGCGACGATGTTGGTTCTTTTGACGCTGTCATAGAAATGCGAAATATGATAATGTGACATTATCAATGTCTCCCAGAGTGGTAACCACTGGAAACAGACATCTTAACTAATCCTATACGGGGTTAAAGGGGTGCGGCATGTTCAAAGTCAACTTCTTTATTTGCCATTAAACAGGCTGGCTGCTTTAAAATGTTGATTGATGTTCATAAAAATATAAACGAAGCTTAGCTTTATTAGCTTTTAAGTCTATTTAGCCATTATGTTATAGTCTTCAAAAATACCTGTCCATTTATGTTTATATTAAATTTACCCTTTATTTATATGTTATTTATTATAAAATACAAATATTAAAATTTCACTACTTAATATAACACAAAGTGCCCCGCGCCGCGTCTGATGTATATCTGTGCTCTTGCGATGATAGAATAAAACTACTGAACTGGTTTGTCATGCGGCTATTAAGTACCTACTATCATTTAGACAATTTCTCACGAAGGGTTTATTATTATACTCTTTATTGCATCATACGGTTCAAAACAAAGTCAGATACATAGTCAGCAAAGGTGGGCTTATCTCTAAAAGAGATCTCTTCCAGCCAACCTAGGTGCTGTCGGAGATTCCAAACTTAGCAGGATTGTTTTCATAATAGAAGCATGATTAAAAAAAAATAACACAAACGAGTGTTTTTTGTCCTAGAAAATGGTTAGAAGAGGAGGCCAACGCGAGAGCAGCTGGGCGCACGCCGTCTCTAACGAAGGTGTTAATCAGAACCTTCTGGTTGAATTTCATTCCCGGAGGAATCATGCAGTTCCTTTGTGTTGCTATCAGGTAATATTTTTTTAATAATGTATGAAATTCGAAGATACTTTATAGCTTTACACCGTCACGTTCACCATACGTTATCATGAACAGGGTTGTTATGAATGTGAAAATGTTGACAACCGCGGATGCGGACTGATGAGGTTTATTAGAGATTCATATCCGCGGATCCGGATTTCAGGATATTATAAAGATATTCTAATTTAAAGTTAATAAAGCAAATGTAATTCAATTAATTTTTAACATTTATTGATTCATATTAATTTTAAGAATAAAACTAAAACATTTTTCAAACTCATTTAATATCGTTTTAGGAACGTGCCACTCTGGCTCCGCCCACTTACTTCAGGTGTCGTTACTTGTTGATAATTTATGAATCTGCATCCGTAAATCCGTAAAAGATGTCGGAAATAATGCGAATATTCCGCATTTGCGGATGTGTTTATCCGTAACACCCTTGAGCATGCAACTGAAAACTGCTGAGTAATTTAATGATTATTATTAGAATAACTTCAAAGTTAAATGAAAGTTTGGGCTTATGATAGGTTTAAGGTACGTGATAAAAACACTCACTCTTGGCGAGATTTCTAAGAGGCGCGTAGCAAATGTCAATATTATGTGTGCAATATTATCGATAAGATTTGAACGATCATTAAAATTACTAAAGTTAGTCCGATTTAAGTGATATATTTTTGATGCCTTTTAGCACAACACTACTTCTATTTTCTTATTTTCAAAAGAAATGTTACCTTTGGAATATTGTTGAAGGTCAACTATGTGAATAATATTTTACATTCCAAACTTTGAAAATGGAGCCCACTTTTGTTCTATTTAATTGGCTTTATTATTAAACCAGGCAGCGGACCCTGCGACTTGGTCCGCGTTTAAATGTGTGTTTTGAAAATCCCTTAGATATTTAACAAATTTTCCGGGATAAAAAGTATCTTTTGTCTCTCTCCAGGTTATAAGCTGTCCGTGTGTTAAACTTTATCCAAATCCGGTCAGCCGTTTTTGAGTGATTTAGTAACAAACAGTTAAACACAGGAACTTTCATATTTATAATATTAGTAGGATTGACAAATATGTAGGTTTATATTTGTTGAAATATATACCTATACGTTTAAGCTAATAAATTGTTTGAACTGAATTAACAGCATTAAGGTACATTAATTATTTTAATTATTAAGTACATTTAAACAACACTCGGCCGCCCGCGATTTCGTTCGCTTTAACTCAATTGATGCTCCGTCGTCATACATGTGGCATTAGATATTTTTAGGCATAAAGGAAATTTGTAGAGGGATCATCCATACAATGTCGTTGAGAGCAACTGAAGGTCACAGCTCATTAAATCCACCCGGTACCCGACCAGCTACGCCTCACCTCGTGTGGTTGATATTCTTTGTATGGATTCCTATGGGTATACGCTCACTACAATAACTCCATACCGTCACCTAATCGTCTCGCTCACAAAATGTTCGCGCGCGGCGGCGGGTGGACAACGAGTGTACGTGGCGCTACGAGGTGGTGCGGTGCCGGGTGGCTCTAATGAGCGTGATCTTTATTGTTATTATTTGTTCGTTATCAGGACGATGACGCCGATTCTGTTCGGACTGTTGCTGCAGTATTGGTCGGTGAACTCAACTGTGTCACGAGAAATGGCCGTGATATACGCAATGAGCATGATCGCCGGCAATTGGGTGGCTGCTTTCCTTAATCACCATGGCAACCTGTACTGCCAGCAGTTTGGCATGATGCTTCGGGTTGCTACCAGTTCGCTTATGTACAGAAAGGTAAACACCCCGGCAAATTTCTTCAGCATAAACCAAAGACTATGAGACCTGCGCAATGTTAACATACAAAAACGTTTTCTCCACAAGTTTGTTTGTTTATGTTTTTACTCCAGATGTTTGTCCTTACTTATACTATACATGCAATACTCCGAACAATGGTACTTGGTATAATTTGTGTCTGTCTAAATGTCAGTTTCATATAATATAAGCAAGATCACAGACAATGTCGGATCCTTTCGCTTAACATATAATTTTAATTCCTTTTTAAAGCTGGAAGTTAGAGCTAAAAGTTAATAAATTCATTCTTAGTATACCTAAAATAGGGAATATCGAAAGAAACTACATTTTTGACGTGACAACGTCTTAAATTAGGTTGCGGCTGGGAGTCACTTATGAAAAAGTGTAACGCTCGGTAACGTTACGATGAGTCTCTCGTGTTAAGTTTAAGTTTACATGTACAATGTTTTAGTAAACAAAATATATTTCTATAGTTAAAATTTGTGCAATTCTTATTTTCATTCAATTCCTTGTTCCTATTGTGCAATTTAATTATATTCATATCAATAAATATTCTACCGAGAAAAAGACGTTGTCACGTAAAATCTTCGCCCGTAAAACCGACTTTACAGGCAACCATTTTTTTATGTAAAATAATGTTAAACAAGCATAAGGCATTCCTGATGGTAAGCAGCTACCATAGCCCATAGACGATTGCGATACCCGAGTATCACTCGCTCCGTTGCCTAATGCAACCCCTAACCCAGGAATGGGAAAACTTTTTCCTTATCATGCCAATACTATCAGAATTTATGGTAGGCCAAGTTCATGCTCGGGCCACTTACGATTTGCGTACCCCTCCACCCCTTAGAATTTGTAAATTATGAAATCAAATATAGCTCAGTAACGAATGCCCCTCACCCGCAGCTCAGCAGCAGTAGTAACAGGTTCGGCAGCTGGTCCATGCCAGAATACGGCAAAATTTTATTTTTTGGAGTGAACCTTTGTTTATTTTTCGATGTTCGCGGGCCGGATTTCAACAATTTTAGGGCCGGAGATGGCCCGCGGATCCTGATTTGCAAATCCCTACCCTAACCCGTGGAGCCTTGTATCCTTACACATAAACAAAAACACAAACTACTAAAAGAAACTGTCATTTCACTGTGATCTTCAGTAAGGTGTGATAGATACGGACGATCCAATTCAAGCACCACGACCTACATCTCCCTCGATATGATAGATAAATGAGTTCTACTCTTTACAATCATAATTTTCTCCTATTATTTTTTCTTATCTAAATACGTTAATACTTTACAAACACATACAGTCTGTAGTATTGTTAACTCTGCACATTTTAAAGATAAGTGACATTAAACACTATATAGATATTAACCCCACTATGTAGGTACTTATAGAAAGCAATTAAGATTGACTTATTGATAAAGTGCTAAACTATAGTGGTATAACAAACCTAAACCTCTAATCTAAATCATATTATGTATATACCGAACTTTTCCATGACGTTGTTGAATATTTTTCTAAAGAAGTGGTGCGGCGTATTAATTTGTTTTACTTATATAATTGTGTTCGTTTTACTATTTAATTTTATAAATTTTTGGTTTGTTTTTTATTTTATGATAATTTTACCAAGTTAACATGAGGAGTACTTGGTCTATCCACGTGACTATGTTGGCATTAACTTCATATATTATTTTACATTTGAAACCCATTTGTATACGTTAAAAAACGACCGCGTCACTGACTGAACTTCTAAATATTTCTAGTTAATAAACAATTATCAACCAAATTAGCAAAGTAAAATGACTTAGTCTATTTATACAATATTACAGAATGGACAAAGATGTGGCTCTTCTGCAGATCACCGTTTTACTTAATACAAAAATAACTTAAGCACAAATAGTAATATATTTATATTTGTTTCTTAGGTTTTCACGCACATCACTCATTAAATAAAACTAGTTTTTACGGGTTAATGCACGAAACTTTATTTATTTATTGACGTTTCGCAGCCTTTTCAGGTCTGCATCTTGTCAAGATTATTTAATATATTTATAACAAAAAACCTTATAATAAGCTAAAATACATTATTTTAATAATGGAGTCCCTTTAGGCAACGTTCCGAAGATACTGGCAGCGTTCCCCCTTTGAATAGCTAGACTAAGTCTTCGTCCGAGGTAGCTGCCAGCTCTTCGGTCTCCTGTGAAGTCGACTAAACTTTTTGCTATTTCCTTAAAAAGCCTTACAGCGCTAGGACCCCACGGACCAAGGGTCTCGTACCGAATGGGACAAAATTATATTCGGAGCCTAGACCCCTGTATTTGCATGCCTTAGCTTTTTCAGCCGCTTCGCAATCCGCACCAGTTCTGTAGTTGGTTCCATGTAGATGGGAAGGGGCCAGCATGTCTGAACAGGTTGCATCCCATACTAGCACCCGGCCCATCTTCCATGGAATCTTACTCATACCGTCCGTCCGTCTCATATTTAGTTAATGTTCATAATAATGTAAGACCTTATTCTAGTTATCAGCTACCTACGAGAAATCAATAAACATGGATTTGAAATTCAAAATTAACATTAAATGAAAGTCAATATATAATTCAAATTGTAACGTGGTAGACCGCTCGGGTTTCTACCACCCGGAGTGGGGTTATCTGTAATCGTTTTCATAGCGTTTTCCTTCAAAATTGCGCTCCCGCAGCGCGGATATTGATATCATGTTTGATGACGATTTCTTTGTAGTTGATGCGTATGAACAACGCTTCCTTGGGGGATACGGCAGCGGGCAAGGTAGTGAACATCCTGTCGAACGACATGCAGAGGTTCGACTTGGCGATGCTGTTCCTCCATTATGTGTGGATCATCCCGATCCAGATGGCTGCCGTGTGCTACCTGGGTTACATGCAGGCGGGGCCGGCAGCTCTTGTGGGGTTGGCTGCTATAATCGTCATAGCCTTGCCTATTCAAGGTTAGAGTAAAAAAAAATTTTTTTAATAAAGTTTTGACGACATTCCGTAAATGTTTAATTCAGCAATATTTTTAGAAGTAGGTAATTGCAGGTACCTATCTATTTTTAGTGTTTAAAAACATTATGTCGTTGAAAACAATACTAATTACATGTGAGTGCCCCAATGATTTGTAATAAACAAAGGATTAATTTCTCAGTAATTAAAAATAAAACCTAAAGCACAGCCTGCAGATTTTAGTAAATTCCACTCACCATTCCAATAGGCAGCAATAAACTCTATAGACATTCTTTTATTTTCTTTTTGATAACGACGTCCTATCCTACCTATTTGAAGTACAGTACCCCTAGCACGAACCATTATCGAATTCGAATAGTTTGCAAACCGAAATGTCAATGTCAAATTTTGTATGGAAACTTGTTCAGCAGCGCCAAAAAGTACTTAACGAAAATTAAAAATCAGTACACATTTGACAATGACATTTCGGACTCGAAAACGTTACGAATTCGATATTGGTCCGTGATAAGGGTACCGTACCCTTAGGGGTACAGTACCCCTAGCGAGTGCGAAATATCAATGTCTAATTTTGTATGGAAACAGCAGCGCCACAAAGTACGTAACAAGAACTAAAAATCTGTACACACTTGACAATGACATTTCGGACTCGCAAACATTACCAATTCGATATCGGTTTGTGCTAAAAGACAGTACATAACTCGATATTTTATTGATTGCAAATGGTTTGTGTCATAGAAATAAAAATAACTGTAAATTTATGTAAATGATAATATATTCGTGCGGCATGCTGAACATTTAAGTATTTCAACCTTCAATATATCTTCAATATCTATTATTGTATAAATATTTGATAGTAATCGTACTTAACTAAACTGTATTATTTTTAGGTGTTCTCGGTAATTTAATTGGCAAATTAAGATTCCGAATTGCGGAAAAGACTGACGAGAGAATAAAAGTGATGACAGAAGTTATTAGCGGAATTCAGGTAAATCACTATCACACTATGAAAAACCTAAAATGTACTTGTTCGTCTAATAGGTTATTAAATGATGTATCTTGAAAAGGTGACCAAATTATTGAATTGAAATAAACTACAAAAGTAATTCATGTGTTTCTGGGCCTTCGAGAACACTTGCCAGAAATCATCATATATGTAAGCACTTAGGAATTTAGCATAATGATTATTAAATCTAAAGAAAATTTTACTAGAAAAATTCACTCGGCCCAGGTTTAAAACGGGATTCGTACCCGCATATTCCGCTAAACGGGCGGACGCACTAACCAATTATACTACCGAGACCTTACTGGTCGTGTCCAATTACTTCTAGTATTTCTTAGGCTGAGATTGTAACCCACAATGTCAAATGAAAATACCTTATAAAGAAATAAACATTTGAAATTAGAAATAGCAATTAATAATTTGCGGAAGATCGTTCGGTTCGAATCCCGTCTGAGACCTGGACTGGGTGGAATTGGTGCTAGGAAAATTTTCTTTAGATTTAATCATACAAATAGCAGTTTAATGCTGAATAATTAAAATATAATAATGACTATTACTTCGCGTGTTTACGTCAATCTAAGCATTCTTATTTATAGGCTTGTTGATTAATTCTGTCACTTCAGGTCATTAAGATGTACGCTTGGGAGCTGCCGTTCCAAAATGTGGTTGGTGATAAGCGTGCTGCTGAGATGAAGGAAGTCAGGAAAGCGTTATTCTGCAGGACCATATTCTTGGGTTTCATGATGTTCACTGAGCGCGCTGCTCTCTTCATCACAATCTTAGTATTCGTGTTCTTCGGAAACAGTATGACTGCCAATGTTGTAAGTATACACAAACATATTATGTACCTGTTACTGTAAAAAGGGGTTTCCTAGCAAAGCGTATGACCCGCCTGACGGAATATCCCTGCCATTGCTTATGGAAGCTTGTCACTTCTTATACTGTCACGCGCCCTTTTTTTATTCTAACCCCATCCCCAACTCCATGTAGCCATGCAACATTAGACACTAACAGAAACACACCACCAACCAAAGGCAAGGCTGAAGAAGTAGATCATCGATCATCATCATAGAAATCGAGAGGGGAACCGCTATGCCCTTATCTTAGTGCTGTAAGGGTTTAAAATATCGTTACCTGTAAACACTGACTCTAGATATTGCAAAGAACATCTTAGTTTAACATAAACAAAAATGTATTATTGTTGATTACTTATAATTTATATCTGCAAAGTTAAATTTGAAATACCTTGCTAGTCAGTAGCAGTTTTTGTAGCCAACTGTACTGGCATCGCTAGGGACATCCCACGGTAGATATGATATTGCCTTTGGACGTATTCCAATAATGATTTATGTGACTTCTGGGAAATTGATATTTGTTAGACGAGTACTAATATTGGTATTTGCTTCCAGATCTACCCTTTGCAGCAGTTTATGAATGCGGTGCAAATCAACGTAACGTTGATCTTACCATTAGTGCTTGCTTTTACTGCTGAGCTTGTCGTTTCTATTAAGAGAATTCAGGACTTCCTAGTGCTCGGTAGGTTATAATAAGCGGACATAATTTCTTTAACTATTAATTACTAACCAAACATAGAGCAACTCGAAAGGGAGTAGTCATAGCGACTTAATAACGTTTAAATCATTCTGCCATTTCTTGGGGGGGGGGGGGGGGGGGTACAAATTGCATCATGCAGTACATGCGTGAAAAACAAAACTGTAACACAAATAGACAATGACAATATACACGTTTGTATGCCCAAATTTTATGTTCAATTCGACAGAGGAAATTTCCCCTCCTAGCCGCGTGGGCCGTGTTGGTCTATGTAAACAAATAATGAAGGAATTTCAAGCTAATTTATACTTATTTAATACCTTTCATACTGGTGTAACTACAAGTCAGGAGTTAATAATAGTATGTGTTAAGAACTACTGTGTTAGTATGTGTTAAAACTTATTATATCGCACTTTATACGCGTTCAAAAAGTATAGTATTATTTATCTTTAAAGGTAATTAAAAGTTTAAATCTTATTTGGGTATTGCATTTTATTTTCAACGTAATGAAAAAAATCGCGAGTTTTATTGATTTATGTTATCTGTTATTTTATTTGTTGTATGACAACAATTGTTTATCCACTGTTATATTGTACGGTTATCTTATTAGTACTCTTTAATTTACACTTTACAATTATGTTAATCTTCTCAATTTTATCTCTATTTCATTATCTTATATACAAATTTGTCTGTAGTATTTATTTAACTAAATTATGATTTCTATAATTAGTTACTTACCAACACTCAAAGTGTAAAAAAGATGGAAAGAAGCATTTTGATGACATTTTTGATCTTGTTTGGTTGCAGAGGATCGCCCTGACTTGACGTTGCATGCGCTGGATTCACCACCAGACAATTTGTTCCGCAATGTCGCTTCTGTTATGGAAAAGTCTAAGGGCCCTGTCAGGCCTCTTTCATTCCAAATGCACTCTGAATTCCTCGATGCTATGGGTAAGAATACTACAATAACATTAGTCAATACCTTGTACGTTTATCTTCTCATCTTGTTTAAACCTTGCAATCAAAAAAACAGAAATTTCTTGTAATTTCATCTCCATATTTTTTTTGATGAAATAAGATTTATTTGTATCTTTAGATTTGATCATCTAGCAGTTACATGCTTCAAGTTCAAATATAATACTAATATCAATGTGCATTATTTAGAAGGAGCGCAAGCGCAGAAATACAATCGTAAGATGCGTCGATCGATCTCGCAGCCAGGGTTGGAAACAGCGGTGGAGTTGCGCAACGTCACAGCCTGTTGGACCCGGAACACAGATATTTGCGCCCTGAAGAATGTATCTCTGAGGATCCGAAAGGCAAAACTGTGTGCTATCATTGGTCCTGTTGGTTCTGGAAAGGTAGCTTATATTTTTTATAAAAAACAAAAAGTTACAATAGTTGAGCAATAGTGCTTGTTTTATGTTTTACATTTTCTTCTAATCGAACATGGAATTTTGGTGGTGATTAAAAACTAAATTATATTTAGTTAATAAATTGTACAAATATGATCCGCATTACGGCAGGAGTAGGTACTTTATAATCTTCTTGTTTATAATTACATAGTTGAAAAGAAGTGCCTAATGTTATCCTCTAGAAATAAAGTGATTATTTGGATAAAGGAAATACCCATTGATAACTTTATGACAAATGATCAAAAATGAAACATCAACAGATTCAGCGTTCTATACCTTTTTTTTATTATAACGTCTATCCATTGAAACTAATAAGTCATTGATAATGCTGTCGAGATGCTGCCTTCCGCGGGCCTTCTGAATTACGCATATGTTTCGTTAAGTATTACAAGATTGCCGAAAATGGAGTGTAAGGTTTAAGAGTTCATGTATGAATGTGCGTGTTTTATATTCCATCATAAAATTCCTCTAAGATTAAATGGATATGTTCCGCAAAACCACCGCCAGGCTTTTCTATTTTTAATTATTATTGTAATTGTAAAATTTGCAAGATAAACTAAAAGCTGCAATAATAGAAAGAATAAAGTTTTTCTATGTGACCTTTCTAAGACAACTTAATAAGATGAGCTAGAAAAGCTTTTGGGCGCTCAATAGCTTCTTGCATAGTAAGAATTGAGGAGATTTTTATTTCCATTTTGCAGTCTTCATTACTTCAACTTCTACTGAAGGAACTACCTCCTGCTAATGGGTCGGTGTCTATTTACGGGAACCTTTCATATGCCAGCCAGGAAGCGTGGCTGTTTCCTAGTACCATAAGGGAGAACATACTCTTCGGATTGCCATATGACGCTGAAAAATATAAAAGGGTAAGCAAGTTTACAGCAACAACACAATCACCTTCTCAAATCAACAACACCAATATAAAATCAATTAAAGATCGTTAACGTGTATTCTAAAAATCAGTAAATTATAATTAACAAACAAAATAACGTTAGAAAGTTAACTTTTCCAAATAAAATAATATAGAAATCAAGCAGTTAAATAAGCTTGAATCAAAATAAGATAAAATTGACTTTAGTAACGAGCTAATATTATTTTGAAATTAAAAACCGGCCAAGTGCGTGTCGTGCCATGCGCAATGTAGGGTTCCATAGTTCCTCGCCGTCACCACAATATATTTTGGAAAGAGTCTATATTTTAAGCAATTGCTTTGTCTAAGTCACATTTAATGTTTTCTTCTAAGGATTTTTATTAGGTTAGTAATTTTCATAAAATACATAAGTTGAACGACTATTACTCTTAAAGTAACAAATCTATTTTTACCGTTATAATTTTTCTTAAAAGTTGATGAACAACACTATTATCACGATTTTTTCCAGGTTTTTCAAGCCAATAGTTTAGCTTAGATTGGGGGCGGGGGGCGCCCTAAACGAACAAAAGTTAGCACTTTAAAGTTTAATATTTCGCCAACGGATCCCTTAAATATTGAAAAATATTTTATTCTACCATATTGTCAGCATGATTGTTATACATATATTCGCAAAATTACAGTTCTCTAGTACTAACAGTCTCCAAGCAAAACCGGTGATGGACAGAAAGACGGACATGACGAAACTACAAGTGTTCCTTGTCTGGACTATGGAACCCTAAAAAGCGGATTGCAATCTAGTCGTTATGAGAAGTGGTCAAATAAAGATTTAGTACTTTTACGATCTAGTCATTAATTTATGTGGCAAATAAAGATCCAGTAATTATGCAATGTATTCAATTGAAGATCTAGACAAAATTATATCTAGTCATTTTGCGATATAGTCATTATTGGGGTTAGTCACACTGAAACATAGACAAACTGAGATCAACCCAAAAAGCAAACGTGACTGTTGTGGAATACTCGCCTTGGTTGGAACGAAGTCAAAAATAAACTAAGTACACAACTACACACATCAAAAGTGTCTAGGGATCAACATATATTTTTGCAATAACTTTTCTCCTGATTGATATTAATTAAAAATTTCTTTAAGGATTCATCAAATAAAGTGTTTTCGTTTGTCACAGTAACGATAAACCAAGCCACCTTTGCATTAATAAAGAAATTTGCCATTTTCCTAATAAAGGGATTTTTGACATTTGAACCACTAACACAAAAGTTCGAAAAAAAGACTGAAATAACAGTTTTCTCTAAAATTTTATTGGGTAACTTAAACAATTAATAATCCGTATTTCTACCGCGAACACTAACAACACAAGAACATCGGTTTGGCATACTCAAAATGAGTTCATCCAAATCACGCTGTGGAATGGCCGCCCATGTTCGTTGCAACAACAAAAAAAGGTCTTCTTGCGACTGGATACCCTCCATATTCGGCAGAGCTCTTCTCTGTAGCATATCCCATGCATGCTCAATCGGGTTCAAGTCTGGCGACTGAGCAGGCCAGGGCAGGACATTGATGTTAGCTGCGGCGAGAGTCTGTCTTACAACTCTTGCGGTGTGCGGTCGTGCATTATCATGCATTAACTGAAATAAGGGACCGATTTGCACTTGTAGAGGAACGATGACGTCTGATACAATCGTCTCAGCATAAATTTGAGCGTTGAGGTTGCCTCTGATCCAAATCAACTCAGTTCTTCCGCCGATCCAAATACCCGCCCATACCATGATGGTTCCACCACTATAAGGATGGACTTCCTGGCAGGATTTTAATCGCTGTTGGCGTCCAGGGGTTCTCCAGTGTCGTATACGTCTTGTATCCGGTCTCATACCAAAACGAGACTCATCAGAAAAGCACACGAAACGCCATTGTTCTTCTGCCCAATTTCTGTGTTCAAGAGCCCATTGATATCGAATCCTACGATTGTGCATTGCTATAGGTGGTACCCGTAGCGGTCTTCGGGAATGAAGGTTCACTTCATGCAAGCGGTTTCTGACTGTTTGGTCGCTAATTAAGTTCCCTGAAGAGTGATGAAGCCTCACGGCTAACATCAGTGCGGTTATTGTTGGAGCTCTTCGAGTTAAGATTTGAATGTATCGGTCTTGTCTCCGTGTGGTGCAGCGATACCGTCCTCCATGGCGCTCAGCCACGGTACCAGTGCTTCGGTATCGTGTCCAAAGTCGACTGATAACACTCTGACTTGTATTCAGAGCTAAAGCCACAGTACGTTGCCGGGAACCAGCTTCTATCATTCCCACGGCTCTGAGCATTTCTTCCCTGCTTAAATGACGTCGCCGCTCCATAATAACGTTGGTTTTAATCAGTAGTAGGGAAACAGTAGCACTAATAATGTCTTCAATGCGTTGTATGTTTTTATAGGGAAAATATTGACAGCTGATTTTCATCTTTTACTCGAATTTGATTCACAGTTCCTGATTCAAATTATGAAATGCACCAAAAAGGATCCATATAAATTTATAAAATCATAAATTTATTACAAAGCCACATCTCAATCTCAAGAAATCCGCATAAAAATGCTTGATCCCTAGACACTTTTGATGTGTGTATATACTCGTATAATACGAAACAACAGACGGTTGTGATGGTGAGTTACAGATGGGCAAACAAGTTGCCACGTTTAAAAATAAGAAATCTTTATTACTTACTTTATGAAAACACGTCTTTATGAATTAGGAAAGAAAAATAGTTACCAACGAACGTTGTTTGTTTAGGTTTGCAGGGCTTGCTGCCTCGAGAAAGACTTCAAGCAATTCCCCTATAGCGATCAGACGTTGGTGGGCGAGCGAGGGGTGTCCCTCTCGGGGGGTCAGCGGGCCAGAATCAATTTGGCTCGCTCCGTCTATAGGGAGGTATGCACATTTCCCTGTTGGGTCTACTTTTTATTGCAGAAATTTCAATGTCATAATATTATTATGCATATTAGCGTATGGCATTAACTTCATTTCGCAAAACATAATTTGCTATTCACTTATTTATCAGACATTCAAAACTCATAATTTTATCAGCCAGAATCATATTTTGAGATAACTATAATGTCCAAAATAATTAAACAGCAGAACTATCATATCGCAGAAAGTTCACGGTCAGAATCTTGTTTGGCATTCATTTTATTCACCAAGTAGCTGGCTTAGTATGGGTCACAACACTAACCTAACCTAACCCACTGACCACAAACACCGAATCTATCTTAAATCAAAGTGAAGAAGTTAATGAAATTATGCAGAATAAAATTTTGACAAAGAAATTATGCCTGAAAATTTAACCATCTTAAATGTATATCATTGCGAATTGGGACAAAAATAAACATTCCGGCAAACAATAAATATCTTTATTAAACATATAGCTTGAAAATATCTGTCATAAGAAGATTATGCCCAGTGTGTTACAATGCAAAATATATTCGCAGCAACAAGATTCTGCCATACAGAGGGAACCCTTCTTTGTTTGCTGCACAAACACCGGTTCATAACTTAATAACACGTTCTTCTCTTGTTTGTGCTACGGGTGGAATTTATTTTTGGTCTGTCCACAATATTGTTTCCGAGAGTTATACGTAACGTTATGATAGATCATGTACGAGAAGTTATTACTTAATATCTTTACTTACTACTAGTTAGTTACCATACTCCTCCGAAACGGCTTGACCGATTTTTATAAAATTTTAAATGCATTCAGTAGGTCTGAGAATCGGCTACTATCTATTTTTCATACCAAAGTGATAAGGGTTGTACACCCCTAACATTATTTTTTTTTGGACAAAAAATCATAATGTGGCATAAAGAAATACATATAACCCTAAATTTTCACCCTTCTACCACAAGCCCCCTATTTTTATGGCGGCACGAAGTTTACTGGGTCAGCTAGTAATGTATAAGATATTATTTTCGCCAAGGTAACTATATACGTACACTCTTTGTGAATCCTCTAATTTATAATAGGAACCTAAGCAGATTAATCGCAATTATTTAAGATTATTTTAAGTGTTGTACACTTCTGGACACATCTATTGGCCCACCTTGTATTTTCAGTTTCGTTTGGTCCTAGCTAAAATTTTATATTAGGTCGAGCAAAAAGTTTTTATGCAATTTTGAACCTGGCACATTCACAATTTCATTAAATAGTCTTTTTTTGAATTTCGAACACAGAATTTAAAGAAACAAAAGACAATTTGGAGCCTGTTTGTTGATATCAAACAATCGAATACTAACAAAACTTGGTTTTATTGGTTTACTTGGATTTAATTCTTGAAAAAGTGATTGATATCTTTGGTTTTGCAACAAACATTACTTATTCTTAACATTAAGGTGAGGTTCTATCTATCAGAAATCAGAAATCAATATATCTTTATTCAAATTGGATGTATAGTACAACACTTTTGAATCGTCCAAACATTTTTTTCCCTACCACTCGTTATTGGACATAATTTTTAGCTGCGGAGAAAAACGAGCGAAAAAAACTCCACAACATTAAAAGAATAATGTAACAACATTTACAAATCATTATGTTGTTGCAACGTCAATACAATCATGATTTATTTTATATAGCACACCTGTTGGAATGATTGGAATAGTTCAAACCCAAGCATTTTTGTCTGTAATATAATCAGACACTTTGTAATAAGCTTTTTTAATAAGTGCTTTTTTTATCTCTTATCTTTGAATTTATTTATGCTTAACTCTTGGATATTGCTTGGGACTTTATTGTATAAGCGAACACAAAGACCTTCAAATGAATTATTGATTTTGTGAAGTCTAGTAGCAGGTAAAGTTAGTATATTTTTGTTTCTTGTATTAAGTGTGTGAACATCACTGTTTTTAAGAAATAAATTAATATTTTTTCTTACAAGTAATAAATTTTCGTAAATGTATCGTGATGCGACTGTCATTATACCAAATTCTTTAAACCTATCTCTAAAGCAATCCTTAACTTTAAGATTATAAATTGATCGAATAGCTCTCTTCTGCAGCACAAAAATAGTTTGAATGTCGGCGGCGTTTCCCCACAATAAAATTCCGTACGACATTACACTATGGAAATAACTAAAGTATACTAATCTGGCCGTATCTACATCCGTTAACTGGCGTATCTTCATTACGGCATATGCTGCAGAACTAAGTCTATTTGACAATTTATCAATATGTGGGCCCTATTGAAGCTTAGCATCTAAAGTAATCCCTAAGAATACTGTGGTGTCTATAAGGCCCATATTCCTATCCTTTACATTCACACTGGTTTTTACCTGTTTTACATTAGGTAATACAAATTTCATACATTTCGTTTTTCCTTCATTTAGTAATAAATTATTAACATTAAACCAGTGGACTACCTTAGAGATACAACTGTTCACGTCGTCAATAACTGTTTCCTTACGTTTGAGTTTAAATAAAAGTGATGTATCATCCGCGAACAATACTATCTCATGCTTATCTGTAACGTAGTAAGGCAAGTCATTAATATAAATTAAAAATAAGAAAGGACCAAGGATTGAGCCCTGCGGAACACCCATTTTAACCAGTGAACCCACAGACTTATTGCCGTTAATGTCAACCCTCTGAATCCTATTCATCAGGTATGACGCAATAAGATCCAGATCGGTATCTCTAAATCCATAGTGGTGGAGTTTCCTGAGTAATGTTTCATGAAAAACGCAATCAAAAGCCTTGGACAAGTCGCAAAACACACCTAGAGCGTCCTGCGAGTTCTCCCAGGCGTCAAAAATTTGTTGTATAAGTTCAACACCGGCATCGGTTGTTGAACGACCCCGTGTAAAACCAAATTGTTTACAGTGAAGTATATTATATTTATTAAAATGTGATTGCATTTGATCTAACATGATTTTTTCGAAAATTTTACTAAAGGTGGGTAGCACAGAAATCGGTCTAAAGTTTGTGGGGTCTGATGTACTTCCCATTTTATGCAAAGGAGTTATTTTACTGTATTTCATGAGGTCAGGAAAAACACCACAGTCAACACAATCATTAAATATGCAAGCTAGAATAGGAGCTATTGTCTCAATTACCGATTTAGAAACATCAACGGAATTGCCCCACAGATCCGCGGTTTTCTTTTTATTTAATTGGTGAAACGTTTTAATTACATCTTTAAAGTCAACATGTTTAAAATGAAAATGACTAGTACAAGGTTTCACGTTTTCTCTTAAGATTGATTCGGCAGCAATGGGGGAAGAGTTCAAAGATTTAGTTGTTGAAACTGGAATATCAGTAAAGAAACTTTCGAAAGCTGTAGCAACTTCAATATCTGAAGTAACCCTTTTATTATCAATATTTAAGTTATAATTATTATTGCGAGTTTTGGATTTTCCAGTTTCATCGTTTATAATATTCCATGTCGTTTTGATTTTGTCATTACTGTTCTTAATCTTTGAACTTAAGTAATTTGATTTTGCTAAGCGGCATACTTTTTTAAACAATTTAGAATAGTTACGAACATTTTTTTTTTAATATTTTTTTAATATTTCCAACACTCACACCAATTAGCCTAGCCCCAAAGTAAGCACTATAAGGCTTGTTGTTATGGGATACTAGGGTAACGGATAGAATACATATACTTTACATATATAAGTATATTTATATAGACATACATATTAAACATCCATGACTGGAGTACAAATGCTCGTGTTCACCACACAAACATCTGCCCCCACCGGGATTCGAACCCGGGACCTCTCGAGTAGGCGACGCCATGAAACCCGGCGTACAAACCACTCGGCCACGGAGATCGTCAATGCATGAACATGCTCTTTAAATTTTTCACTAGTGTTACAGTTTCTTTCATTATAAAGTTCATAAAGTGTCCTTCTACTTTTATGAATTCCAGGCGTAGCCCACTTAGTAAAATTTACCGCATCATTAACACAAATTTTTTTGGGTACAAAAACCTTATTAAATTCAGTGCAGTATATATTAAAAAAATCATTATATAAATCATTTGGACTGTCTTTATATTTTAGATAACACAATTTTCTATTTAATTGAGTTTTAAAACGTTCCACACGATTAGCAGATTTTGGTACAACAGTGATGTGTTTTTTTGTCACCTGCTTGAGCTCATATGGAAATGTAATCAACTGGCCACAATGATCACTATCTAGTTTATTAATAATTTGTTTTTTCTGTGGTATGATATCTGTATATATATTATCAATACAAGTGGCCGAAGTGGCAGCTATTCTAGTAGGCTCAATGAATAAGTTTTTCAGATTGTATGATTGAAATATTTTTTTTATTTTAGTACTCGAACTAGATTTTTCTAATAAATCAATATTGAAGTCACCACAGACAATCAACCGTTTGCCTGTAGTGTAAGTTTTCTTAAGAGCTTCAAAACAATCATACAATGCTGATGGAGGTCTGTATACGCTCAATACAACAAACCGGTCCAGTTCCACACAGGCAATTTCTATTGTTCGCTCAACCGAGAGGCTCACAATATCTCTTCGTTCCTTAAATTTTAATTTTTTATTCAATAATATTAAAGAGCCACCGCGAATTGCATTTTCTCGATTGAACAAACTACCAACCTGATGATTATTGAAATTAAATATATTCTGACTTTTGAGCCAGTGTTCTGTAATACAAAAAATATCTATATTATTACAATTCATGAATAATTCAATTTCTAAGTCCTAAGTCATTCCTTGAATATTAAGATGCACCAGGTTGATAAAACTTACATTTTTTGCAATGTTTTTGGATGGGTTTTTTTTATCTATATTAACAAAACAATTATTTTTATTTACATTATTATTTAATGTGCAAGAAGAATTATCTTTTGTCTGATTGGTTAATTTAAATATTTATTATGATTTTGGGTGGTTTCAGTAGAATAATTACTGATTGTCATGTCAATAGAATATTGCTCAATAGGACCAAGTTGTTTAGCCAAATTCTTGGCTGACATAAAAAAGAAATATGATAGCGACTTAGCTACCTGTCTTTTAATAAAAAATTCTAACATAATTGTTAGAGTCAATCAAATGATATTTATTGCTTTTACAAATTGTATACAAAAGCATATTTAATTTGTATCTTAACAAATTTTCCTCCTTTGGCAGACTGTTGCAGTAAGGCAATGTGAACAATACAATTTTTTTCACATTTAATGCATTTAAATCTGTCACATATTTTATTAATAACTTTTTATTCAAATTGCCTCTATTTCCTATAAAAAACAACAAGGTGTGGCATTTACTGTAGCTATGCTTACTTGCCTTTTCTAAAATATCATTATCAGAGGTACCAGGCATACAGTAATTTGTTATTGAATGTCCCATTTTAGATAAAAGAGGGCCCATATTCTTCCCAATTTCATCACTAAACATTATAATATTGTTATTTTTATTACCTAAAGATGCATTTCTTGAGTGAGTTACTTTCACTGGCGTCAAGTATGTACCAATTGGCTGATGTTGGGAATCAACAGATATAGACTTTTGTTGTAAAGTGGAGGAGTCACAATTGAGCGATGATTGAGTTCCCAACTGTTTACAGTCACAAGTGTGATTGTTAGTTAACGAATTAAATCTTTCATTATTGTAATTACATAAATCAATTAACTCATTCATGGCCTGCATGTGTTCCTTCATTTCACATTGTGCTAATTTATATTTTTTGGTTACACTTGAGAGACAATCTTGCAGTTTATCTATTTTACTTTGTAAAATTTGAGTATTTTAAACAAATGTTATTATATTTTGCAGAATAAATGTCCATTTTATCAATTAACTGTAATCTCTCCCTGTTTAATTTAACATTTTTTATAAAGAATTTTTGGATTTTTTATAAAGAATTTCAATAATCTATGGATACTTCACCTGAAGTCGCCGCCCAAGCTGTGGCACTTATTCAGGCCGGACACAGCCAAAGAAACGTGAGTGCTCATTTTAATTTAAGTCGATCTGCGGTCCAAAATGTTTATCGGAGGTACCCAGAGACTAGCGGCTTTGTTCGTCGCCAAGGAAGGCCACGATTTCGGGTCACAACTGAAAGGCAGGATCGATTCATCGTGACGACCAGCTTGAGAAATCGTCACCTTACCTCCATTGAGATACAAAACCAACTTCGCGACTTCCACGGAGTATCTGTGAGCACTCGAACTGTTCGGAGAAGGTTAAAAGAACGCGATATGGTACCACACAAGCCAGCTAATGGGCCTAAATTAAAACGCGAGCCCAGTCATTTAAATTGGACACAGCAAGATTGGAGCCGTGTACTCTTTTCTGATGAGTCTAAAATTGTGTTACATGGCAATGATGGAAGGAAGAAGGTCTACCGACGTAAGGGAGAGCGTTTCGCACAATGCTGCTTTGAAGAGAGGGTTGCTTATGGCGGTGGCTCATGGACTGTCTGGGGCGGTATATCCGCGAGCGGCAAAACTCAACTTGAGGTTGTTACAGGACCACGGCTGCCAATATTAAATGCTGAAAGGTACATTCGTGAGTGCTTAGAACCTCACGTGATACCATACGCGGACTATGTGGGCCCAAATTTCCTTTTTATGCATGATAATGCAAGAGCCCATGCGGCCGGCATCGTCAGGGAATATCTTCGGGATGTGAACATCACAGTTATGGACTGGCCAGCCAGAAGTCCAGACATGAACCCCATTGAGCACATGTGGGACGAGCTAAAAAGACGTGTTAGGGCTCGTCAGCCAGTTGCCCAGACGATGCAGGAGTTGAAAACTGCCATAGAAGAGGAATGGGAGATGATCCCTCAAAATTTCATAGAGCGGTTGATAAACTCTATGCCTAATCGTATGAGAGCTGTGGTAGATGCCTATGGAGGCAACACGCGTTATTAAATTAAACCTTTATTTGATAAAATATGTTTTTTATTCAAAAATCAATTGCCTTTAACAAGGCGCATATCCGACTTGTTAGGCGTAGCTCCATGTCGTATGGTATTCTGAATTCGAATTTAAAACAATACGATCGAAAAAGATGGTAAAATGTATCAGGTTTAAAACTGCATCAACAGTTTTTGTTCAATCTAGCAATCATATTTCGGTAGGGGCCATCGAAACCTAAACTCTAAGGTGGGCCAATAGATGTGTCCAGAAGTGTATAATTTTATTAAGGTAAAAGGAATTTCCGATATTTAGACAGCTACACCATACTTCTGGACCCAATTCCCTTCTCCGTGGAGTCTTGGATACCTCGCTCATCGACAGTTATACAACTAAATATCTGTGACAACAATATACCAAAAGGTACACTGTAGAAAAGTGGTAGAGATAAAAAGTTCAAGATTATTTTCCCAATACGGTTACTCCAATTTGAGCGGGAAAATCGCTATACTCTACCCCTCTTGAACCTTCTTGCTAGTACAGTATACCTAGTCCAGTCATATATTCTGTTACAAATGAAAATGCTTTTTTTGTTTATTGAAGTAATGTTATTAAAATTTATACCTACATATTTATTAAAGTCTCAGCGAAAAATTAAAATATATTGTATTCGAAATGGCTACCTTTGGCTTTTATACAGTTCGTATCTGTTTGGTCACGAATCTTTGGATTTACGCACTGTTTTCAAGAAAAAATTCGCTGGTACTGCTTGCTCCAAAGATTTTTTAAGGGACTCAATGTCGCCATGTCTTTAGAGTAGGCCATGTCCTCTAAAACTGACCATAATTTGAAGACTAAAGGGTTGAGGTCCGGGCTAGATGATAGCCAAACTTCAGCTCTTATAAAGCCGGAACGTTGGTTTCAAGCCAGGCCTGGGTAGTTCGTGCCTTGCAACCAAGTGCAGAATCCTACTGGAAAGTCAACGGTATAATTTTAAAAAGTGTTTGTGTAATGATTGCTGAGAGGTTTCACAACATTATTTCATCATAATTATATTAAAAGGTTTCATTTCATTTCAACATGATCCAAGACTGTATCTTGATACACTTTGGCTGAAGTTTTCACTCCTTCTTCACAAAAATGTAGTTTTGTGACTCCTTGATAAGACACGCCCCACGAAACCATCACTGACGCAGGATGATAACCACGTTGTACCTTTCCGACCACTTGAGCAGCTTCTTTGGAACTGTGAGCGTACACTTTTTCATTTTGCTTTTTGTAGTGTTCCTTGTTCGTGAAAATTTTCTCATCGGAAAAGTATTTCTTTTTCACCTAGGTATCGTGACAGAAGGCGTTTTGATCGATCAACTCTCTTTAATTGTAAAGATTGATTTAGGGCATGTCCTGTATATCGACGATAAGCACCGAGTTTCAGGTCTTGTTTCATAATATGCGACAGAGTTCTAGTGGGAATCTTTTTGATTTTGACGACCTCCGTGGTCGAGTGGTTTGTACGCCAGGTTTCATGGTGTCGCTGACTCGAGAGGTTCCGGGTTCGAATCCCGGTGGGGGCAGATGTTTGTGTAATGAATACGAGCATTTGTACTTCAGTCATTTATGTTTCATATGTATTTCTATATAAATATACTTATATATGTACAGTATATGTATTCTATCCGTTACCCTAGTATCCCATAACACAAGTCTTACAGTGCTTACTTTGGGGCTAGGCTTATTGGTGTGAGTGTTGGAAATATTTATTTATTTATTCATATCTTCATTCCCTGTGATAAGATTTTTTTTTCCTAATGGGGTTTCGACGGATACTGGCTTTAACAGCAATAACAGCCGTTATAGATCTAACAGCACGCGGCCACTCCGATCTTTTTTGGTCTTCGACAGACGAAGTGTTCCATATTATACACCCCATTCCATATTATAATTTGATAATGAACACGAAAAAATATGTGTAATGGCGCTAAATCATAAGAAGTTATTTAAATAATACACGTGTTCAAAAAGTTTAAAAAAAGAAAAGTTTTTATGTCACAGTATTTATGGCCAGACTAGTTAGTATTAGTAAAGTCGACTGCAAAATATTTAAATGACACTGGTATTGTTCAATTATTTTTGTGGGGCAATAATCAATGGCTTTTTTCTCTGGTTATTGATATGTTCCTTGTATTTCAGGCAGACCTCTATTTGTTGGATGACCCGCTATCAGCTGTGGACGCGAACGTCGGTCGGCTCTTGTTCGAAGGCTGCATCAACGGATACCTGCGCGGGCGCACGCGAATCCTTGTCACGCATCAAATACACTTCCTCAAGGCGGCCGACTACATCGTCGTAATGAACGAGGTAAATGTCTCTAATTTACTCATTACTTGTAGCTGTAAATGTATTGAGAGCTTTATGATAATCAATTGTTTAGTGTTTAGTGTGATTTTAATGTTATTTGATTTTGTACTGTGATACGCAGGTAAATTTTTGTCGTCTTTTGGCCTGGCCATAGGCGCCAGCTTGATGGTCTTGTGCAATTTTCCGAATTCTAAGGTTGAATTTTCCGGATAATTGAGAAATAGGACGTATTGATTGTATCGGGATACAATTATTAAATGAAAACTTATTTATATAAGTCATATTCTTTCTATTTCTTTAACTTAATTGTTGTGTTAAAAATAGGGTCAAATAGAAAATATGGGCACCTTCGATGAGCTGATACAATCTGGTAAAGAGTTCTCATCTATGCTGGCTTCCCTGCAAGAAGGCAAGGATAAGGACGGAGATAGCGTCGGTTCGGGAGTTGTAAGTGTTTATTTTTTATTTTATTACTCGGTAACCAAAAATAAAAAGATTATAGTAAAAAAAACTAAAGGTGAAAAGGTTTTAACGCATGGTCTGGTTCAAAAATATATAATAATAAGAATATGAAAAACGGTTATTTTTTACAGCTTTTTAAAAGGCCCGGTTACCGATGACATTTTTCACATTCACATTAAAAGTTTCACATTCGCAGTAAAACAGTGCGAAGTTCGTTCTTAGAATTTCTCCAACATTAAATTTAAATCAACCGACATCAAATACTTCGAGATTTATGCTCTTCGTTGAGGGAATGAGGTACCAGTCTATTAGAAATCTTCAAAACTTTAAGATGTTCATACAGTAAGGTGAACATAGCTTGTATACCTACCAATGTTCAGTACAGCCTAATAATCTGCCAGTGTGTAATCACTAGCAACTCTTTGTTCCAAGTAAAAGAAGAGTGACACATAATCTTAAAGAACTAAGTACGTACATAAATAAGTGACCAATGATTTACCATTGAGATATGTGTTGAAATTAACCGACAGGTAATTAGCGATCTATTTATTTTCTCTGCGGCTTGCATTGTTACATTTTTGGAACAGCCATAAAGACGTATTGATATAATAAATAAATATTCTCATGATATAGACTATTTCTTAATCCAACTTAACTGAAGTACTGGACACATTTAAATCTGACTTAAGACCCCATCCATCCCCTGTTGACCTCAACCTGAATCGAGGTTGCCCCGAGAATTTGTTGGAAGTAATAGAAATTCCTTAGATGTATCCGGGAAATAAATCGTATAAACTAATTTCGAAAACATGTTAGTGATTTTTTAAAGGTTTTTTTTAAATAACGTGGATTTTGATTGAGGCCAGTGTTATTATTATAATACAGTCGAAACCGGATATAACGACATTGAAGGGACCATATAACTTCGGACGTTATATCCGATAGTTGTTATAAGCAATATACACAAGAAGTCACATTATTGTCATGTATGTATGTAGTATGGTTAAAGATAAAGAATATAAGCCTTTTTTCAAATAAAATACCGAAAAGAGAAGTAAAAAAGTTTATTGTTTAAAAAATTGCAGAACCTACAAGCATATTTTGTCTTGCTGGAACAAGTAAAACGGTTGGTCGTTATAGGAGATGAATATCGATATATGAACTTTATCAATATTCATCGACTTGCCGGTTTATTTTATTTCGTTATAAATATTAGGTAAATAAATAAATAGTTAGGTATATTGTATTTCGTTATATCCGGTGTTATTATAGACAGTTTGTTTGAGGATTTAAATAGGGTTTCAGCCGGGACCTTGCCAATTGGTCGTAATAACCGACCGATCGTTATAAACGGTGTCGTTATATTCGGTTTTGACTGTAATTATTTAAACTAGAAAATGAATAAATAATTACGTTCGATTTATTTCAAAACTAAAAAGCAACAATTGATTACTAATATTTGTTGTATTGAAAAACGTAGAATAATATTTCAAAAGAGCATAATCATCAAAATACATTAATATGCTCTTTTGAAATATTACGCCACGTTTTTTTTGTTTCATGTATGCAAAAGACTTTTTGATTTTATTACATACTTTACGTATTAACTAATCTTTAAAATTTAGAGCATTGAGGGCAAAGAGAAGAAAGGTCTGCCAAGATCAATGTCAGTAACTTCAGAGGGCGAAGAAATGACAGAGTTCGAGGCGCAAAAAATGCAAGCGGAGGAGCGCGCTTCTGGTGACCTGCGGTGGGAGGTGATCGTGGCGTACTTCCGCTCAGGCGGCAACATCTGGTTCATATTGTTTACCATATTCATGGTGCTGCTGGCTGCTGCTGCAGCCGCCGCTGTGGATTACTGGGTTAGCTATTGGTGAGCAATGAATATCAAAACTTGTACCTTTTTCGTGTGGCTGTGTTTTTTTTTGAAGTGATTGCGTTTTTTAGTTATTTTTGTAATTCTATCGAATTATGCTGTTGTTTGTTACCTTGACGGCCTACTTTAAAATTAAAAACGATAAAAGGATCGAAGATGACCATTCAATTGTTTATATTTAAGACCTTAACGCGTTTAGAATGTTTTTTTCCAGTAGATCCTCTGAAGTCTCTGCATCCCGAATCCCTAATTTACTGCCATTTTTTTCTGAAAACTTAAGTGGATTACTTATATTTAAAAATAAAAAGCGATTCTTTAATTTTTAGTCAAATAAATAAATTATTAATTTTTAGGTCAAACAGCATGGCAGCATACGAAGAATCCCTAGAGGGAGAAGCACCAGGTGAGTCTTTTAATGATTTTCGTTAAATTTAATTTCTTTCATTCCCCGGACAATAAAATTATTGAATGAGCGAAATTTTCTCAGTACTTTATAGTATATATACATATAACATGGTCCTCTTCAAGGGAGGCTTGAATAGAGTGTTCTACAAAAGCCAACAGCATGGCTGTGCCGCTGGTATTGCTGATATCCATGGGCGACGGTAACCACTTAATATCAGGTGGTCCTCCGGCTAATCTGCCGTCAAAGGGATAAAAAAAATCAGATGTTATCGAAAACAATTGTTTATATTTTATGAATGTTTCACAAGTTCTAATTTTTTTTATTTTCTCTCTATTTTAGAACCTGGATTAGACGTACAAGTTGGAAGGTTCACAACTGGGCAGTATTTGATTATTCATGGTTGCCTAGTACTTGTGTGTATCCTGCTCACCAAATTACGTGTATTCCCCTTCGTGGCACTTTGCATTGATGCCTCCAAGAATCTCCATAACTTCATGTTCTCTACCATGATAAAGGGAATAATGCGTTTCTTCGATACCAGTTCTTCAGGTAAACACTGTAACAAAAGAATTTTAATCAAGTTAATCAAAGATTTATGTTGCTAGCTTATCTAATTTAATACTTGTTATTACCAGGTTTTTTAATACTACAGGAACAACATTGATTAATTTAAATAAATAATGTTCTGTAGACTTACATTTAAACACCTATTTAATTTTAAACTAAGAAAATAACAAAAAGGGGTTGTTTTTTACTAAATTTAAAATATTGTTTGTCTTCAAGTCTCCAATGATAAATTTTGAAAACACCTACCCAAAAATTTGTTATACAATAATAAAATTACTCTTCTAGGTCGTATACTAAACAGATTTACAAAGGATATGGGAGCTCTGGACGAAATTCTACCAAGAACTCTCCTGGATGTGCTCCAGATCTACACCACCTTATTTTTCATTTTGATACTGAATGCTATCGCCCTATACTGGACACTGATACCCTCCGCTGTGCTGCTTTTGCTCTTCGTTTTTATGGTCAGGATCTACTTGAAGACTGCGCAGAGTGTCAAAAGATTAGAAGGAACTAGTAAGTTCTTGCCTATCTATCAATCAAGCATTTATATAAGTGGACTTTTTAGTCATCATTTGATTACATCGGTATATTATATCTACCTCATATTGGAGCGATACATGAACGTTTTCTTTTTAGCTAAAAGTCCTGTGTTTGGTATTGTGACGTCATCCCTCAACGGAATCGCTACTATCAGATCAACTGGAGCAGAGAAAAGACTAATCAAGGATTTTGACAATCATCAGGTACACATATTGCGCATTTTTTCGATTATCGAATACATTTTCGAGTCAAAATAAGTCTTGTAATGTGAATCGTACTTATTAACAGGACTTGCACACTGCTGCTTGGAATGGTTATCTTTGCGGAGGTAGCTCTTTTGGATTGTATTTGGATTCCATGTGCTTGATCTACTTGACAACTGTGATATTTGTCTTCTTATATATGGACTTTGGTAAGTAGATATTAATTACCAATGACAAATCAAATTTTATTTTGTATATTTGTGATAAGGAAACTGATATATTTACCTAATCCGGTAATCCTACTAATGTGCCCTACTAACGGGCATCACTAAAAGGAAAAACCTGCAGTCATAACAAACTTTGAAACTACAGTCAACCACAGGTCAACTTGTATAATGCCTAATTTTCTCCAACTGACTTTCTGAATACAATATATTGAGTCCGTTCTAAATAAATTTCTATCAGGGAGAGTTACGGGCCCTTACCTCTCGAATTAGAGCAGTATTTAGCTGAAGTGACCTTCTGAAGACTGATTCTCAATTAAACCAAAGCACCTCGGGGTAAGAAAAAGTTTATGGCAGTCTTTTCCAAGGTGTAGGGGTTGATCCCGATAGAGGTTAAAGACCCGCCGGACCATTTGTACCATTAGGCAAGTACCATTGATGGTACAAATGACTCTGATTTATCCCACTAGGACCATTGATGATACAAATTAGAGCGATATATCTCATAGTGCCCGCCGGACCACTTGTACCATTAGGCAAGTACCATTGATGGTATAAATGACATTGATTTATCCCACTAGGACCATTGACGGTACAAACTAGAGCGATATATCCCACAGTACCCTTCGGACCACTTGTAGCATTAGGCAAGTACCAAGTAGCACTGATTTATCTCACTAGTATCATTAAAACATACAAGTATAATACCTAGCGTTACATGCATAATAATTAAAATTAATACGAGTGGTCCGGCGGGGTTGGATGCACGTTGTATATAAGTCACATTAGCTACCTTTGAAATCGGGCGGTGTGGAGTAATTGTCGAATTGAGTAATGCTTTATCACCGGCCTATTATGGAATATGCGCATAATTGCGCTCGTTACAACTTCACAACTTTCATTGAGTTCAACTACATTATAACTTCGACAATTGCAGACAAAACGCAGTAGCCACTTTTCCATTGTGTTCCTCCAATGACTAAACTATTGGGTATTATATGAAGTTCCTCCTATGTCTACAAAATTGGGTTTTATTGCATAGGTGATATAATAGCCGTGGGCAGCGTCGGTCTGGCGGTGACCCAGAGTAACACGCTGACGGCCATGCTGCAGCACGGGGCGCGCATGCTGGTCGAGTTCATCGCTCAGCTCACCAGCGTGGAGCGGATACTCGATTACACCCGCATCGATACCGAGGAGAACCTCTTTGAAGGCAGTAAGTGCTTTAGTTTTATTGCTTAGGCGATATAATAGCCGTTAGCAGCGTCGGTCTAGCGGTGACTCAGGGCAACACGCTGACGGCCATGTTGCAACACGGGGCGCGCATGCTGGTCGAGTTCATCGCTCAGCTCACCAGCGTGGAGCGGATTCTCGATAACACCCGCATCGATACCGAAGAGAACCTCTTTAAAGGCAGTAAGTTCTTCAGTTTTATTGCATAAGCGATATAATAGCCGTTGGCAACGTCGGTCTGGCGGTGACTCAGAACAGCACGCTGACGGTCATGCTGCCGTACGGGGCACGCATGGTGGTCGAGTTCATCGCTTAGCTCACCAGCGTAGAACGGATACTCGATTACACTCGCATTGATACCGAGGAGAACCTCTTTCAAGGCAGTGAGTTCTTTAAATTGTTCACACGATTCAGAATCTATTTGCGAGGCGAGTTTAGCTCAGTGATTCGCTTCGATTCCTACTGTAGGGACACAATATTGTCAACGCAGCATTTAGTGCACGGGTGGTGCGATGATGAGCGGTAGAGCCAGTCGCCCTCCGTAGCCCCCTTTGCTCGCACGTATCAATTTGGGTATCTAAGATAAGTCATATAAAGGTTGTGTAATAACCATTGTAAGTGGGAAATAAAACTAGTGTTTTTGCATATATTGACTTTATTATTTCGTCTAGACCAACTCCTAAAGTACAATGTTGATCATGCACGTGCCTTTATACCACGTCTCGTCAGTCGTAATAAATAATGTTTTTATTTATCTAGTTCGTTAATAATTAAAGCTTATAAAGAATTCTTTGCGACACTACTTAAAAAGTACAATATTATAATAGTAGTGGTAGTGTTTATTATGAGTCCATTGCTTTTAATTTATTGAAAAAGAATCTGGTAGGAACCGTAAAGCTGCGTACGGATAGCGCGTTCCAGGATACGCACAGTCGTCAATTCGTACCCTGGAACGCCATATACCTGGAGCTACATGTGGCGTCCATGAGTTGCCAATGAGTATGGAGAGCGCGTTCCAATTTACTGCAGTGCACAATTATATTACTTATTCCACTCAACAATATTTTTTTCCCTCAGAAATTGTGTCGATACCTACATGGCCATCTAAGGGAGAAATTGTATTTGACAATGTTAGTATGCGGTATGCACCAGATGAAGCACCAGTCCTCAGAAACCTGAACCTTTTCATTCAAAGCGGTTGGAAGTTAAGTATCATGCAAATTATTTAAAAAAATACCTTAAGTTATTCCTGACTGAATGAAATTAGATTTGGCTAAATGATGACTAAACGTACCATATTTAATTTCTTTATCGTATGAGATTTGCTTAACTCCATTGTTGTCAGTGTGTCAGCTTACCGTCAAGTGGCTCATATTTGTATTTGCCGCTTTTTTAACACCAAATAAACCTTCTAAAAATATAATGGCTATCATATATTATTATTATTAGCTACTTACTACCAAATGTATAAATTAATAGGTGTTATTATAAAAGTAAATAAAATTGGTATTGAAGTTTTGTATTGAATATAATTATGTGTATAAAACGCGAAAGTATAGGGGGATATTAAAAATTATATTATGGTTGTATTGTTCTTAGGTGGGCATCGTAGGCAGAACTGGTGCAGGAAAATCTTCTTTAATATCGGCATTATTTAGGTTCGCTTTCATTGAAGGGAAGGTCACTATTGATAACCTGGATACAGCTTTAGTGGCTAGACAGGTATGTAGAAGCATTAAAATGTCTCTATAACATTAATTTTTAAGAGAGGTAGGGCAAAGCAGATTTTCCACTCGAATTGGAGCGCCCGTCTGGGGAAGGATCCTCTACCTTACAGAAATTTGTAGTAACATAACACTACGTTTTGGCGGTGTTGTGTTTCTGTTGATGAGTAAGGTTCCAGGGCTCCACGTGTAAGGGACTGGGTCAGGATAGGCAGCGGTTCCAGTGATATTTTTGATATCACAAGCGTTTCTAGGCTAAGGTGGCCGCTTACCACCAGGCGGACTCAACATAAAAAAAACATAAAAAATATGTGAAAATGCTTTGTATAAAATGAAAAAAATTGTGTCGTTATTTTATAGCCTATTGTTGACAACAACTACAACATAACGATTTTTTCAGAATCTTCTATCTAATATTATATATATATATATATATATATATATCCCGTATGAGAATTGTAATAAGAATTTTATTAGATTGAATATCTTTGATATTTATGATATTTGTTCTTATAATTCCTTCTGTAGTTATTTTTTATAGAAAAGTTTATATAGGATCAGAATAAAATTTGAATCGATTTATTATTTTAGTTTTAATATTTGCATTTTCTATAATTTTATTAATTAGTCCTAATTATTTTAGAATTTTATTAGGTTGAGATGGTTTAGGTTTAGTTTCATATTGTTTAGTAATTTATTATCTATATATATATATACACAAAATGTTTTGTTGTTTGTTAGGGGTTCCTCGTTAACTAATATATTACATAGAAATTAAAGTTTAAAGCCAATTTGGAAGCCTGGATTGGGATAATTTGACTGGATACTAATTTATTATTGCAAGAGAATTACTTAGATCCCTAGACAATTTTGATGTGTATATCATACACAAGTTTAAATAAGTTAACGTAGCCTTCCATAACATAATATTATAATGGAACACGTTCTCTCAATCCCCAAGGATTAAACGCAGCATACACTCAAAACATTACAAGAGAAATATTCGGGTTGAGATACAAACATAGAGAATTGGGAATGTTAATAAAAAAGTAAATTTTGAAAATAAATTGCAGGAGCTTCGTTCGAAAATCTCTATAATACCTCAAGAGCCAGTTCTATTTTCCGCAACCATCAGATACAACTTGGACCCTTTCAATATCTACAGCGATGCTGACCTGTGGAGATCTCTCGAACAGGTAAACAAATTAGGTTAACACTTAAGTCGTATACCGGTTACTGCATCCACCCGGCTAGCAGAAGGCGCAGGTTCGAATCCTGCCTGACACCTGGATCTGGATATTCTAGTAAAATTCTCATTAGATTTATTAATCTATTAGCTAGTGCAAAAATATATAAAATTTATAATAAATTACCACCAATGTATGAACGATTTTAATTTTACTGAAAGTTCATCCCAAGTCTTGTACAATGAACTAAATTAGCTATTGGTTACGGCATCTTGATTATTTTGCAGGTCGACATGAAGTCGGCGGTTCCGTCTCTAGATTACAAAGTGACAGAAGGAGGAGCTAACTTCTCAGTGGGCCAGCGGCAGTTGCTGTGCCTCGCCAGAGCAGTTCTTCGGTCAAACAAGCTGTTGATTATGGATGAAGCGACGGCCAATGTAGATCCTCAGTAAGTATTTCTGCAAAAAAATAAATAATTTATTGAAAATATTATTTGAATTAAGGCAGAAAAAAATTGTAGAACTCAAAATGACTGCTTCAGCAAGAAAATATTCTCTTCTTCCATTTACAAGTACCTACTAACTAGATATTTTTCAACAGGACTGACAATTTCATTCAGCAAACCATCAGAACACATTTCGCTTCGTGCACAGTTCTCACGATCGCTCATCGTCTCAACACTATAATGGATTCCGACCGGGTTCTGGTCATGAGCGCAGGACAAGTGGCAGAATTCGACCACCCATACATTTTGTTGTCTGACCCTAACAGTCAACTGACCTCAATGGTCAAAGAGACAGGAGAAAAGAGTGCCGCCCAGCTCTTCGAAGTAGCAAGAGAAGCTTACTTTTTGAGCAATATGAAGGAAAACGCTAGATGATTCCTTAATTATTACTATTCCGTCCTTAATTTCCGAATCCCAGTGTAAAACAGTCGAAATACTTTTCTAGCATGAGTATTTTAAAAATCTTTTGTTCTCGTCCAATCTCTACTTAATGTCTTAAGTAAAATAAGTTCCATTATGATAATTACCTATATTTTTGTACACGAAACTTTTTGAAAAATAAATAAGACAATATTGCAAGTACCATCTGGGCGATTCAGGGCCAGATAAAAACAGTATGTTTAAGTGATGTGTAAATATTTCTTTTGTAAATATTTAATAATTTTTCATTTTCTAAAAATACAACACTTAAATCTTTGGGTGGGAAATGTCATATACACTTGTCCCACCGTAGACGATTAGAACAAACAATTTTTCCTATAAGTAACCAACCACGTGTGCAAAAACGCGTTTTGTGAAAATACTCGGTATCTACCCCTGTTACACACAGCTGATAGCGGAGGCTGTATTTTATTGTCACTAACATTATGCTAAGTAATAATAATTAACGGGATAGCTTCCATGTACCTTGTCTTTTGTTTTTGTGAGTCTGATTAGATACTTAACAGTGCAACAGTGCCGGAACATCGGGTACTCACAAAAGATGAGGTGTTATATGGCAGCAATCCCGCTAATTACTAAAATAAAATTAAAATAAACTTTATTCAAGTTGACTTATTTAAAGCTTGTTTCTTAGGTTTTCACGCACATCACTTATTAAATAAAACTAGTTTTTTACGGGAATCAATTTTTTTTTACAAAATTAAACAAAAGTGATTTCGACGAAGCAGTCTGTAAAGGCTGCGAAACGTCAATAAATAAATAAAGTTTCGTGCATTAACCCGTAAAAAACTAGTTTTATTTATTTAAAGCTCTTTGAAACGTCCTTATTTTTTTATCCTACTATACCACATGTTCAGGTATAGTTTTCCAACTGTTTTTGTTTGTGTAGATTTATATCACGGTGACATAAATTAAGAGTATCATAGTAAGGTGATATTGAGATGTTTTTCTCGGCACAATCAAGATTTGCTGAAAAAAAATTCTTTGTGATAGTTCATCTATGCAGTTCAGTGGATGAATTGATGTAAAAGTTCATTTAAATATCTCTATTAGTAGGTAAGTATTGATAGAATAGGCGGGAGTTTCCGGCTGAATATTTTTATTGCGAGCAATGACACCATCATCAATATCATCAATATACAGAAGGACAAGTAAGTGTTGATCTTTACTTGCGTAGAGTTAGAAAGGGATGTCGTTATGTGCTATATATAGCGACATCCCTTTCTAACTATGCTCAAGACTAGATTAATTACTGAGAATTTTTCTACAATACGAGCCTTAATGTCGAAATTGTTATCTACCTATCTAACTAAAATACTACGTATTTTATTGATATTGGTACAAATAACTTACATGGTGTCAGACGTAAATAACAAAGTAAGTTGGTCCTGGGATGCTGGCATTTAAATAAACGGTATGCTAAAAAGCATGCTATCAAAAGCAGCCCTATAACAAATCCCTTTCCTTTGTGATCATAATAATAAATCATCCAAGAGTCATCACTGCAGTTATCACAACAACCAGCCATTTTTCTTTAAGATTGATCATTATTTATTAATTTTCCTCCATTTCAACATTTACGTAATTTGCATGGCTTTTAATTCTTTGAAAATTCAAGAAATAATTTTTGAAAAGCTTTCCACTAGCACTAAATACTCACGATTCAGAGACATTATCTCTGCTTTTACACTAATGTCAAAATTAACAAAGAGATTATAGATTTCACAAGATTTTAGAAAATTTCCTTGATCGAAACTTTGATATCATTATCGAAATTCTTGATCCATGTTGGTTTTCATTAAATAAAATCGCGCTGTGAAATTTGCAATTGCGTTTTACATACAATTTAACATTATACGCAAGTTTGGGTCCCGTGAGTCTTAGTCTAAAATTTCTAAGACTTTACGGGGGACACGTGTATTCAATTTCGGCCGGCAAGTGAGGATGGCTGGAGCGGCAAATGTTTTTGCCACATCAGCTATTCTGGCAGCTCACAATTGATATCAAGTAGGGAAGAGTAATTTGCTGGGACTATAAATTACAAAATCTACACAATCACGTGCGAAAGCGCTGAGTTATACTTATAGAAAGGATCCTCTACCGCTCAAGCTACAGATTGTAAATGTTGTAAGTATATTGGCCTAAAATGAAAATGCAAGTTTGAATTTAACATACGCAGCAGAAAGTGCGTTTGATTTGTCTTGCGAAAGGGTAGTTACTAGATGAAACATAGATTTATAATTATACACTAGTGTGTGCCCGTGACTTAGTTTGTGTGGAATAATTGGTTTGCCATACAAAGCTATTTCCTTTTCGTATCTTAAATTTATTAAGACTTCCTTTATGTAAGTATATCTCCTGTATTTAATTTTGCACCGTTCTATATTTATTGATATTATTATTCCTTTTCCACCATAGGTTGCCTGAAACAGATAGCTGTTTAGCAATAAGGCTGCCTATTGTGTAGTACTCTTACTTCTGTTTTGCTTATGACTTTGTTGTGTGCAATAAAGAATATTTATTATATTATTCCTTCCCTCTTTCACTCCCTTAAAGGAATATTTCTATAGGATTAAAACTATCCTATGTCCTATCCCGGTATACAAAATCTACGATGGTTTAGTTGTTTAAGCGTGTGGTGTAGAAGTAACAGACACACAAACACACTTTCGCATTTCGTCTGCTTAACATGTAAATTTGCTATCTCCACTTTATTCAAGGAGTTGCCAAAACGTAAACGATGTGTTCACATTAAAGGAAACAAACGCCATTGTTAGATAATTTTTGACCAAAAGTGGAGTTAGCAAAATGTGATTTAATAAAGACAAAAAATATCGTTACTGGATTGAAGATCGATGGCGAAGTCGTTAGCACGTATGCGGTTTGTGATCATGGAAGTTTTTTTTAACAATTTTCGCAATAGCCTCGCTCTTCCATACTTTGGAAAGCACGTGGAGCTGATTAAAGGGTCCGTGGTCTCACCGGTTTGTCCTACTGGTTCTCACCAGTATACCACGGTATAACACTATGTACCCGTGGTCCTATCGCGCTAGGGCGATTATTATGGTATCGATAAAACATAATAAACACCGATAAATTACTTTTGAACTCCACACTTCTGATCAGTGAATGGTTACAAGGATCATCATAATCATCATCATCAGACTATTAATGTCCCCACTGCTGGGGCACAGGCCTTCCCTAAGGATGGAATAGGGAGATTGGGCCATGACCCACCACGTGGGCCCAGTGCGGATTGGTGGGTGCTAACGACTGCAAATGCAGCCGGGACCAACGGCTTAACGTGCCTTCCGAAGCACGGAGGAGCTCAAGATAGTAAAGTTTTGGTCACCCATCCAATGACCGACCAATGCGAAGGTTGCTTAACTTCAACGATCGCAGCCGAACGCGCTGACCACTTGCGCCATCGAGCTCCTCTATTTTTAGGAGAATATTATTTCTCTTTGACATTGTCAGGAGTGTTTTTCTTTACTAGTTTTTGAACTTATACAAAATGTTTTTTTTCTGATTATGAAAGTTAAATTTCATAAACGGAAAAAAGTGCGAGTATTACTTCTTGGGTGAAGAGATACCTAAGAAGTAATACTCGATGATTATTCGATGGGTATCGTTATTATGAACAAAACAAATATTTTTTAATAATTGTACAATATGGACTTGCTATCAGAAGCGAATATTAAAAATTTACTAATTATTTCATTATTAACTTAATACACCAATAATAAAATTTTATAATGATAATATCATTTCATTACTTAACAACTAATTTAAATAAAATATCTATTTACCCGGCTGCGCAATGCAAGAGCGCGAAGCGCGTCGCGCAGACAGGGTTATGTGTTTCTATATATGTATGTTTGTTCCTTTGTGGCACACTAGAGACCAAACGCCTGGACTGATTTTGATGAATCATACATCAATCGATTCGTCTCAATCATGGGAGTGCTACTAAAGATATGATAGTAATCAAAATTCAATATGGTCAAAATTAGGCGCTATATTGTGACGAAGTAAAAAAAATAAGTTGACAAAATATGTCGAGTAGGGTATCACTGTCTAGATAATCAAAAATCATATTTAGGTTCCAAACACCATTTTTCATTTTATATGATTGTTAAGGATCTACAACGCTTTAAAGTTCTATATTAACCACTAACGCTTTTAATTTCAATCTTACATTTGTATCGATCTTTGTTACTCTTTCACCTAAAAATACTGAATGGATTTTAATGAAACTTAACAGTAATATAGCTCATATATGATAATTACATATATATAATAATTTATGTAGTTATTGAGTGAATTGGCCAATATATAACAATAAGTGTCACATAAGACGGAAAAAAATCTCCCATCTGCGAGCCATTTTGGCCTGCACTGCGAAAACAATAAAAGTTACATGAATGTAATGTAGAGTGAAAATGTATCTCTTAAATAGTTCTAAAAAAAGTCCGTGACACCATATATCTATTTTTAATGTGTAAGTCATTACCGCTAAAATAGTGAATCAAAACAAAAATATTATTTGATATCTATTTCCAAAAATGCACATTTTGTATAACAAATCATTTTTTATCAAAAAAAATACTTTTATCGCTTTTGATATTTAAAGACGATAAACTTTGCTTTTTACACTATGTCATTTCGAAAAATATTTAAAAAGTTACAACGATGACAAAGTGATAGCGCGGTGTACTATGTAAAAGAAAAAAAATGGGCTATTCGCAGTATCTGATCCTATACGAAGCACTAACAATAAAACTGTGATACAGTTCCTTCTTATTAAATGATGAAAAATATCTTATCATAATAGGTATTTATGATTATTGAATTTTAATGAAAAAACCTGAATTTTACTGTTTTTCATTTTTTTAACGATATCACTTAATGTTACAAAAAAAAAGGTTTACTTA